GTGTCTTGGCCGAGCTCCGTCCTGACGCGCTCCTGCCCCTTTTCTTCCTTCAGCCCCGGCCGCGCTGAAGAGCCTGCCGCCTCCCGTCACCGTGGGGTGAGTACCGCGGGGGACGGGCGGCCCGGGGGCCTCCGCAGGCAGCGCTGAGGGCTTTGATCTCCGGTGGAGGCCTAGCGGTGCCTCTGGTGCGCCGGGCGGCCCGGCCGGCTGCTGTCCCCTGCCAGTGACAGACTGCCTGAGGAGGCCTGGGAGCACCTCGGAAACCTACCAGTTGTTCTTTTTAAATAACGTTATTCTGGGGTTTTGTCCTTATCCTTCTAATTAACGTTGTGGGCTTATAAAATAGTTAGGGTCGGAAGGAACCTCTGGAGGTTATTTAGGCCCACCCCCGTCCTCGGAGGAGGCGTGGCTAACGAATGCCTGCCTATTGAATTGTGAATGTGTTTGAGTCTTATCTAAAGGTGGGATTTTTAAGAAGCTTAATGGAAACTTTCTCATTATTTATAGTGTATGGCACACCATAAGACCACTGCATACAACTCAGCAGTATTTAGCTCCTTTGCCACCTCTGCCTGAGAAAGGAGGAGAAGTACGTTATGGTTTGATTCCTGAGGAGTTTTTCCAGTTTCTCTATCCTAAAACAGGAGTTACAGGTTAGTATATACTGCTGTTTTTTTAAAAAACGTTTGTTTAGTTATGCTTACTTAGTTCTGTCCACTACTTCTGGCTGCTGAAAAGGTAAAATATTAGGGAAAAATATTTTTTGCATATGCAGAGGAGTTTGTGAAGAATGAGCCAGTGCAGCACTTCCTGGCTCTAAAGCTAGGCACCTGTTGCTTTAAATAAAGGCTAAAAGAATGTCATGAGCTTGATCTTGCAGAAAGTATATTTGCCTGCTGATCCTCAAAACCTTTAAACAGAGATTTTTGCTTGTTTCTGAGTGAGCAGAAGCAGCAGGTCCCATACAAGGTGCAAGTTGCTTCCACTTCTGGTGACCACCCTCGTGGCACCTTTCCGCTCGGGGGTATTAAGTTTCTGCTTTTGTCATGGTAAAAGAGAACACTTCGTGATCTTTTTGTAAGCTTTAAACTAGCTACCTCTTCAGTGTTTGACTTTAGTGAGCCTCTTTATGCTTTGTACATATAATGCTGCTTTATTTTTTTATAGGGCCTTATATGTTGGGAACTGGACTCCTGCTTTACTTTCTATCTAAGGAAATCTATGTAATTAACCATGAGACAATTGCAGCTGCCTGCATACTATCAGTCATCATTTATGGCATTAAAAAATATGGGGCTGATGTAGCAGCTTTTGCTGACAAACTTAATGAGGTGAGAAAAGAAACCATAATCTTAACTTTGTAGTAGTTAATAACTATTCTAAGTTGTCTGCTAAATATTTATAAAAATTTTGTGTCTAGGCTGTCATAAAAACCTGAGTCTAATACCTTCAGAACGTTGCTTAAAGAAGGTATGTTTTAGATCTTACACTGGTATTGTTACACAAGTCTTCAAAAATAAAACACTTCATACCAGCACAAATGATTTTTTTAAAGTACGATTGATTGTGAACTGTAATTCTTCTGTCTTGCCATCCTTTAACCTCAACCCTGCCACAGTCCATTTTATGCAGACATGTCTCAATTTGCAGAATTTCCGAAGTTAATTACAGATCACTCATTTTCTTGCATCTTTCATTCTGAAGCATATCTTTTGGGTTTTTTTCAGGAGAAGGTTGCTAAAGCTTTAGCTGTGAAAAATGAGGCTATTAAAGCTCTTGAGACTGCCATCGAACAAGAGAAGAAGGAGCAGTGGCGGATTGAAGGCCGCAGTTACCTCTTTGACGCTAAGCGGGTACGCAGCTCCAGCTCTGCTGTCGGCTTCCACTGCAGTCTCCCCTATGTAATCTGAGTGCCTCTTAAATTGCTAACAAGTAACAAACCATTTACTCTCTGTGTGTTGCAGACAGGGCCAGTTCCACTGCCTGATCCAGTGACTTTTGCTATAGAACGCATTCTGCTGCTGTTTTGTATTCTTCCCAAACGTTAACGCTTTGATTTGATCTTCTGTGTCTAGAATAATATTGCAATGTTGCTGGAAACTAATTATCGAGAAAGATTAATGACAGTGTACAACGAAGTAAAGAAAAGGCTGGACTATCAAGTGGCTATGCAGAATTTAAAGCGTCAGAAAGAACAAGATCACATGATTCAGTGGGTGGAGAAAAACGTTGTTCAGAGCATCACACCTCAACAGGTACTTCTTTTTTTTTAATCTGCTTTATGTTTTAGTCTGTATAGATATCTGCTGTCCAGTGATTCTAGCTTAAGCCAGAAGATGATGGGTCATCTTTGGGTGACTTCCAAACATGGCTGCAACATATTCCTACTGCTGAGTAAGAGCTAGCAAGCCCAGTTACTAGGTACCAGATGCTTGTGTTGCTGGTGAGTTAAGCTAGAATCCCGTGTGGTGTTCATGGCAGCATAGAGCTAAGCTTGTGATAAGATCTGTAGCTAACAAGTCAGGGAGCTCACTTGTAAAATTGTCCATGTAAGATCATGGCAGATTTAAGATCTGCAGATGGGCTCTATGTGGCCTTTCTTTTAAGGAATGAAGCTGAGAACGAAAAAAGAAAAACTGTTCCTAGCACTGCACGCAGATGCTTTAACGCAGGTCATTGTTTGGATTTGAATCCCTGACTTCATGAGCTATAATTACATCCCTTTCAATCTGTAACTCATTTTATGGGCGTCCTAAAAAGGAGTATCTAAAATGCATTAGAATGCGTATTTTGCTTGTTTAAATGTCTTTCATAAAGTCTTTCTTCTGAAAGCTGTTTTCCGTCCTCTTGCAGCAGAAGGAGAGTATTGCCAAGTGCATTTTGGACCTGAAGGCATTATCGAAGAGTGCACAGGCAGCAGCTTAACCTCGTCTGATTCCACTGCTGTGTCTCATTACTTACTGTTGGAAACTGTATGATTCTAAACTATCATTAAACAGACAAATAAAACACTCTGCTGTCTTTCACTAGGAGTGGCAACAGTAATTTCCTTTTTGTGTTTGAAGTAGCTAGATCAGTCCCATAAACCACTACAGTTAGCTTATAGTGGGGGGGGTTATTTGCAACCACAATATGTGTGATTCTGTTTGGTTCCTTGTTTGGTCATGAACACTTCCAGCGTTGAGATGCAGAATTTCCCAGTGAAAAATTCTGGTGCTAATACAGTGTTTTCGTTTCAGACTTCTGTGTGGTAATGACCTATAGATACCTCTGTAACTGTAAACATCTTCTAAAATCAGAATGAGTGCCAGTGCTCCCATTCACCTAGTCCAATACTTGGAGGTACTCTGAATGAATGTCCTTGTTTTAGAAATGAACTGATGTCCTGGTTTTGGCTGAGATAGAGTTAATTTTCCTCCTAGTAGCTGGTCTAGCGCTGTGTTTTGGATTTAGGATGAGAATCATGTTGATAATGCGCTGATGGTTTTGTTGTTGCTGAGCAGTGCTTACACCAAGTTGAGGACTTTGAAGCTTCTTGTGCTGCCCCGCCAGCAAGGAGGTAGGGTGCAGGAAGGGCTGGGAGGGGGCACAGCTGGGACATCTGTCCCCAGCTGGCTGGGGGACATTGCCGGGGGCTGCCGAGGTGGGGGCCACTGCTGGGGACTGGCTGGGCGTAGGTCAGCAGGTGGTGAGCAATTGCATTGCACATTGCTTTGTTGGTATATTCTTTCATCATTATTACTATTTTCCCTTCCTTGTTTCTGTCCTATTAAGTTGTCTTTATCTCAACACCCAAGTTTTACCTTTTTTTCCAATTCTCCCCTCATCCCCCTGGTGGGGTACTTAGCTGCGTGCTGGCTTGAACCACAACTGAAAAAAACACTTTCATAACAAAGCTTCAAACAGTGATGAAAGCCTCTTCCTGTCCTGTGGAAAAGAGGATGTAGCTGGCAGGAAACCTATCAAAAGCGACCGTAAGACTTGGCTTCAACTGAACTCACCAGTATTAGGTTTAAAAGAGTGAAATGGATAAGTTTATTCTAGGGGGTGGGTTTTTTCTGGATTTTAATAGGAAAAAAAAAGTTGCTGTTTTTTGGGGGTCTTTTTGCGTAGCAAGGAAAACAGTTGTATGTGTATTATGATAACACACAGCATTTTCTTTTTATAGGACACTTTTTTCCCTGAAGGATTTTGTGGTATCTCAAAGGTCCCAGCTGAGCAAAGTACTTGCCTGTGTGTAATCTCATCCCTTCTGTCTTGGGAAGTTATTTATTGAGTAAACAAACTAAAGTAAGCAGAGCAGGGTGTGCTTATATGCCTCATCTCGGTGGATCGGTACTGCAGTAGGGAAGTGCTGATTTTTAGTGGAGTTAGTAAGATAGCAGAGTTTTCTACACTTTTCAACGTAAGAGTTCAGTAAAGAAAGGCGTTCTTTAGAGGTAAGAACATTACTTAAAAGTAATTTAACTTAAGTTGAAGCTGACTTTTTTTGTTTAGACCAACAGTTCCTGAGAATGCAGGTGTTTTTCATAGTTTCCTGTTTTTTTTTTTAATAAAAAAAGACGAAGTTGCTCAACTTCCACACTTGTGTAACCCCACATTTGAATGACACTTGAGCTTTAACTTGTTTGACAGAGATTCTTTTCACAAAGCAAGGGGTTAAGCTGCCGTGCTAACGCTCCAGGAGTCTTCTACCAGCAGGTGGGCAGCAGCTCTATGGTGCGAGGTAAGAGGAGCTGTGTCACTGACTGCTGTTACTTCTATTGCTGCAAACACAACGCACTTCTAGACTTAGTGTAGCAAACTGGGAGGTCTTGACGGTTTGACTCTACTGGAACGTGGGCATCAACGGGCATGCAGTAGAAGATGATGGAAGCAGCAGGGGACAAGATCTTTACCATCATGTTGTCAGCAGTACTTTGATGTTACTCACAATGTGTGGTTTGCACGCCATGCGGTGAGAAATGCCGGGGTAGGAATTTTGTAATATTTGGTATACCCCTATCTGTAAGCTTCTAGCTGCAAATTTGAGATGTTACCGTTCCTGCTTTGGTGGAAAATGTTAGTGTAACTTGAGAAAGAAAAGGCGGCATTTTGTCAAAGCTGCTTCTGATGATGAAAATGTTTGTAAAGTTCACGCCGTTCTAGCTGCTGCAAAAATAATGCTGTGGGTGCTTTTTCAGTTATTAAATATACTCCATCCTTTTGAAAAACAGCAGCATGTTCATCAAAGTGTGGTGAACATGCATGTGTGTGCCCAGGAAGAAGATATTGGGAAGTAGGGTTCATGCTGAGTAATTGCTGGGTTTGCTGCTGGGGCTTTGTGCCAGTTTAAGATGTCTGAAAAATTGACAAAAACTGAAGTCTGTGAGTTAGAGGGCGATAGGTTTGTTTTGCTCTAGTGTGTGTGTACATCTATGTACATAAATACAACTTTTTTTTTTTTTTCCCTTCCTTTTAGCTTCTCTTCCTGTTCATTAGTGTTTGGAGAGAATGGGAGGTAGATCCTCAAAAGCAAACGCAGGTATTTTCTTTTTTAAGGAATTTTCTTAGATGCAGTATTCTTGACTAAGTTGATACTGTCCTGACTCAAAAAGGGCTGCTGTGGGGGTAGCTTAGCAGGAGATGTACGCGTCTGGGGAAGAACTGCACGACTGCCAAAGGCTGCTGTGGGACAGTAATAATATGAACCAATTTTTCTGTCTGTGCTTCCACTTTCAGCCCTCTGATAGAGAAATGTTACACTTGCATTAATATTTCCTTGAACAGGCACATGCCTCTATGTAGTTCTTGTTGCTTGTAATATTACGGGAGAAATTCACAGATTTTAAAACCAGGTTTTGATTTCTTTTTTGCTGTTCACTTCCAGTTACACCAGAACCAGAACCCATTTCCACTACTGTCACTGTACATACCACTGTATATACCTCTGCGGCTGACTTAAAAGCTTCTGAAGTCAAATGCTGGATTGATAAGTAAATGCTCCACCTTTTATTTCCTAACTTCAAACACGGAGTCTCTTGAGACTGCAGACGACTCCTGTAAGGGGGGAGTTATATGTAATAGGTTTTTATCTTGGGGTTTTAAAAAAAGGTTGTTTAGAATTTCCTAGTCTGTGCACTACATATTTAATTCATAGTGATGCTTAATGCAGATACGCACCTTTTAATCTCACAGGGCTTGGGATGAATAACATATTACATTTTGTAAAGTTTGGTGAATTTGCACGCTACTGATTCTTCAACACCCCTGTTAAAACTGGGGATTCTGACACTATGTTCTGTGTATCACCAGCCATGAAATACTCTACATGTCGCTAGCCTTTATCTCTGGCATCCTCTCGACTGTTGTGGTTTTTGGAATCATCTACCTCATCAGAAAAAGTAAGTGGCACAGTAGAGGGAGTAACAGCAGCACGATGATCCAGGCATGGAGGCAGAGGAGTACTTAACTTGTGCTGCACGTGTTAACGTGGATGATGCTAAGGGTCCATGCTCTTCGGGCTGCATCTTAACAGCACTAGGGTTTCAAAGTAACTTCTACAAAAATTACTTTCAGAGAAGCGCAAATTATGTTTTCCTTGAGCAATTAATGTATTGATGAACGCGTCATTCCTGGCAGTAAATAAATCATCCTATTCATGATCAGGAGAATGAACTTCAGCACTGATGAGTTGTGGTGGGTTTTGTTGGTTGGAGGGGTTTTGGGGTTTTTTTTCATCCTAACGCTGGCCACACTGAGTTCTCCCCAAATTCATCAGTTGCTTTCATCCTAGTCTAGCCACTTCCAACAGGTGGGGAGGGACTTGGGCTCCCCTCTGACTTGGGCTGCCAACCTGCTCGCTTTGCCGTGAAAGTCTGTGACAGATTTTACAAGCCACGTCTAAGCCACGTGCTCTAGGTGCCATGCTCTCACCCCACTCTTGCGCCTCTTCTGCACTGCTGTCTCCAAACATGGAGCAGGCAGCTGAGACTGGTGTCCCTCTCCTTCCTAGAGTGTAAGAGATCCCCCCAAAATTCACAAGAGCAAGTTCCCTTCCAGACAGTGACTGAGGAATCTGCTAAGAACATCCAGGTAAAGGTCACAACTATTATTTTTAATACTTTATGCAGAAACTTCAGGTTCTTGATAAAATGCCAAATGTTAATTTGGAGGGAGAGAAAAGAGGTTTGCTCTTGCAAAACTCAAGTGTTAGTCGACAGTTCTTTTGACTAATGAAAAGATGCTTTTGTGCATCCAGGGCTTCAGCCTGCATTTAGAATTGCAGGGAGTTACCTAAGGAGGTACCCGGACAGTAGGAGGAAAGAGATTCCTTCTCTGTTATCACAGGGCTCAAATGCCATACTCCACATGCATTTCAAGGGTTCTGGGGCTACACTAAACCACTAATTAGGCAGATTAGGGGAAAATCTTTAAAGGCAAGCATTTCTGCGGTTTTTGATCATGTTATTGATTCTTTGAAAGCCCCGAATGCAGAGTCGACGCAGGATCCTGAGCTAGAGTAACAACTGGTCTGATCCAGCATCGTGTTTGCTGGATTTCCCATGTGCAAGGACAGACTGTGACCGCTTATGGTGTGTAGCGTTGAGGACAAATTAGAAGCAGGAAATTCATGCAGAGATGTGATGCTTGCACACTGTAATGTTTGTGGCTTCTTTCACATCCCCAGAATGAGGTTGCCTACACCACTCTGGTCTTCCAGCAGAGTCAGACACGGATGGCTGTGTGATGATGAAGTTGCTAGTGAAATGAAGATGCTTGCACTTTCTGCACATCAAATGCTACTGGAACATTATATCAAGGCCTACAGTGCTCTGAGAAATGCCAGCACTGCTGTATCTAACATCAGCTCATTTTATAGTTATAAGGGCAAACTAATGTATCCTATTCCAAACTGCGTGCTGACACTTACAGGCAGCTTGCTTTTTATACCGTATTTCCTCATCTGTAGAAATCTTGGTGAGTCCTTACAATGCACTTGTAAAGTTTCCATTTGCGTGTTTGCATTG